CCAGGCCTATGAATAAAGACACACATGTTCATAAAATCGCTAAATGTTTTGCAGGCATCTTGCATTTGGGGAAGCAATGGTGCAGGCCATCAAGCTTTCTTCATATCTAAGAATTCTCCCTCAAGCATCAAAGCAATTCTTTAAAGTATAAAATATTTTGGATAAAGTTAGAATAAGCATGTTATATTTTGCTACTAATTCAATCAGAAAGCACTAAAAAATAATTTGATATCTTGAGATGACCAGAGTCATCTCAGCTAGCATCCCATCATATTCTCTCTGTGTACACTTTGATTTTTGCCTTAACTTTTTCTTGTGATATTGTAATTACTTTGTTACTATGCTTATCTCTATAATTTATCTTTGAATTTACTGCTTCTTGGAGGGGCAAGAATTTGAGTTTTCTTTGTTTCATCATATCGTATATTCTAAAAAAATGATTTTCGTTGAATAGAGATCAAGCGCATACATGTAGGTAAAGCCTTTGTGACTCCCTGAAGCCCTCTTTGTTCACTGTTGAGATCTGAGCGCCGTTCTGGAAATCTCATGTTGGCAGAAGACGGATGTTTGATATTTGAGAAGTCATTGTATTTTTAAGTTCACTTTTATAAGGAAATGTGAAAAGACAGCACATGCTATTTAGCAGATGAATTTCACCAATTCCTGGTTGTTGTTGTTTTGAGTAAAAATAATAAAATCATGATGTTAATCTTTTAGTAAGTTAATACTATAAACAACATTTACACAAAAACACTGAACACAATATTTGGCCAGTACATTTGGGACAAAGTCTACACTGTAGCAAGTACAGGACTAATGAAATAAGTCCTGAAATAAGTGAGCTGATTGAATAGTGATTTTGATAGGACTTTCACTATTCTATTAAATCTCAACTCAGGATAAACATTGTGGAACCCAGGGAAGATACCCAAATATGTTTTATCTTAAAAACACTTCATATAAATGATGTTTCTACGTGAATTTTTATAGAAATAAGCATAGTAATTTCTTTTGTTTTTAATCAGCACCAGCTTTCAACTAGGTAGAAGAAATAGTAGTATATTGTGACAATTAAGATGAGAACAGACTAAAGTGATTCTGTTATTCTTAATGCTGTTCCTTTCAGGAAAAAGGTTGTAGGCCTGAAGCGCAAAGCTAGGAAGAATGAGACAACATGGTCCATGTGACATAGGATGTTGGTGAAGCTTAATGACTATCATATCATAGACGCTCTTCTTTTCCCCTCTACATTTGGCTCTTTTGTGAATTGCACATTCTGAGAGTTATCATGGAATTACAGCTGTAGGTTGGCCAAAAGCATCTTTTTAAAATAAAGAGAAAAAAATTGCCTTGAATTTTCTATGTAAGTTATATTATTACACCAGATTATTGAAGAAATATAAAACACATTATCTAAGTGGCTCTTCCAAATGGAATATGGTAGTTACTATTAAAATAGTGTCAATAACTTTAATGTATTATAGAACCAAGAAAAAACAACCAAGTATTGATTCTTAAGAAAAGACATTTCCCCCCATTTCTTAAATCTAGCTAGCTTTTTCTCCTGTTTTGCTTCACTATTGGCACTTTACATTATAAGAGGGACTTATACCCCAGTTTATTTAATTAATAAAAAAGGCAGAAAGTGCTAATACTAAATTCTCAGGGCAGAAACCTACAGGTGCCTGCAAGTGATACAGTAATATAGCTGAGGGATGGATTCAAGATGATATTTAGGTCCTTAATCTTTTAATAGCTTCTTCCAATTTGGAAATGGATAACATGAACTCTTTTAGTCCAATTTCTTTGATGACTTTGATCCCTATGACAAAGTAATGACAATCTTTACCTTTCTGGTTGGTATTTTTTATTGCAAGCTACTTTAAAATTACGGTAAGTTAAGCACATACATGAAAGACTTAAATGCTGTCTGTAGTTTGGAAAATTACTAACACATGCACTGCTTTCTTAATTTCTTTATGGAAACAACAGATCTTCCTTAGCAAATTATGTTACTGTATGACAAATGTGAATTCGAAATTTTAAGTTAAAATATATTGTTATTCACTACACAATGTTTCAAAAATAAATATCATTTGAAAAATGTTTCCTTTTTTCTGTCAGTTAAGAATAAAAATCAGAATGTAAAAATCTCATTTACAAGTTCAGTATTTCAGTTTGATAAGAGTCAGACAAATTTGCTCGGCTCCCAGTCTTGGAACAACACGGGGAAATGAAGTATGTTTAAATACTCTCCCATTCTTCTCTCTCCACTCCCCATGACTGCAGTCATGTACGGGTGTTAGAAGAATGGTAACCCTCTTACTTTATAAGCCATCTACCCATTCATTTTTCTGTAAGTTATATAAAACTCACTCATATTTTCACATTAAATCACCCTACAGTGTTCATAGAAATGCTAAATGACAGCCTCATGAGTATGTCAAAACATTTAGCATGCCCCAAGTGAAATCATGTCTCCCAGCACATGCAGGATGACATTGCAGAGACACTTAAGTGAGCCAACTGTCTACGGACATTCTGACTTATCTACTTTCCATCATACCTACCCTCCTACCTACTGATGATCAATTTTAATACTGAGAAGAGACTTCGTTTGGGTCTTCCTCCCCTGTTTTTATATCAACTCTTTTCCCCCCTCGTCTCCCCCATTAAGCGTTGCTCATATTTCCTTGGCCACATGTACTCTTCTAACTTCAAAATTTCCCTAATGATGTGTTATCGAATGTTGTTCTTTTTCAACAATCAGGATTGTTGTTGTGGACTCTCCAGTCAATTTTGACTCATCCCGTGATCCTACAAGACAGAGTTAACACTGTGCAATAGGTTTGCTATATTTGGATGACCACATTTTTTAAAGCAAAGACCTCGAAAACAGACTGAATTCTTATCACTCTACCCTTCTGTTCTTCTCATAATCGAGATATCCCTGTATCTCCAGTGACTAGTACGCCTCCTTACATAACCAACAGTTGCTCACAGAAGCAACATGAATGGGTACAGGGCCAGATTAGAGAGGATATCAGGACGTTTCTACAAACTAACGAGAACGACAATACAACGTATCAAAATGTATGGGACACTGCAAAGGCAGTTATCAGAGGTAGCTTGACATCATTAAATGCATATATGAAAAAAGAAGACAGGCATATGACAGATACGTTAACACGAAACCTCCAACAACTAGAACAGTCAGCAGAACCACCCCTCCAATAGCAAGAGAAAAGAAATAATAAAAATCAGGGTAGAGTTAAACCAGTGGGAAGACAAGAGAACAATACAAAAGATAAATGCAGCTAAAAGCTGGTTCTACGAAAGAATGAACAAACTGACAGTCCTCTGGCAAAGCTTACCAAGGATAGAAAGAAGCAAACATCAATAGCCAGGATGAGGGATGAAACAGGGGCAGTAACAACAGACCCCAATGAGATTAAAAGGATAATCACAAAATACTATGAAGTCTGTATTCTAATAAATTCAGAAACGTGGAAGACATGGATAAATATTTGGAAAAACACTCTCTCCCTAGATTATCTCAGACAGAGATCAAGAACCTCAACCAACCCATAGCGAAAGAAGAATTAGAGAAGGTCATAAAAAACCTACCAACAAAAACAGCGCCAGGGCCAGATGGCTTCACAGCAGAATTCTACCAAGTATTCAGGGAAGAGTTGACACCGATCCTCCACAAAGTATTCCATAACATAGAAGAGGATGGCAAACTACAAAATTCATTTTACAAAGCCAGCATTACTTTGATACCCAAACAGAGCAAAGACCCCACTGGTATAGAGAATTACAGACCAATATCTCTAATAAACATAGATGCAAAAATTCTTAACAAAATAGTGGGCAATAGAATACAAAAGTATATAAAACAAATCATCCACCACGGCC